AACCTTTTTTCAGGCAAAACAATAAACAACAAATACAGTAAACACATACATATGTACTCCAATAGTGTATTTAATGTGTATTTATACATATATATCAATCATTTTATCATTATCATAGTTCCATAATCCATATAGCCAACATATGAGGAACAGTGAAACACGGGGGGGGGGTCTGCTTATAACAGAGCAAATAAACATTTGTCTGGATTCTGGGTGAAGAACATATGGAGACTGCCCTTACTTTCTTACTTTTGCCGATATCAGTTCCCTGTTGTGCTGATCCTCTGGCTTCAGTACTTTTTAAATACAAAGGCAGATCAGGAAAGTCTAACTTCACTTGCTGCATACTTCTTATTGTGTGACACAGAAACACTGAGATTAAAGGCAAACAGGCAAACATACATTTTCAGAAGGAGATCAGTGATGACAGCATCTGTGTTTCTCCCAGTACTGTTTTATTCTATACATTGTTCATGTTTCACATAGCCGTCAGCTGAGAGTGGTGACATTTCATCTTTCTATTCACCTATGAATGGGTAATATATAAACTGCAAAAATCTGCAGATTTTGTGGTAAGTTTTGGGCACATTTGGAAACAGTGTCACTTTTTCCCTATCACTATCTTTGATCCCTTTGGAATCATTTTAATTAGAGATGGCATGCTGAAACTTGACAAGGAAGAAGTGTAATTAGAAACTTGGCGGGGAAATGGGAGCTGTTTGGGTGCGGGGGAAGTTCTGCTGATAAATATGCATGTTTCTGTCATATAGCCTGTGCATTCAAAGCACCCACCAATTGTGCTGCTTTTATGGCTATCTTTGAAAATAATCTGCAGATCTTTTCATAGGGGGATGTTAGTGAAAGATGACATCTGTGATCTGGCAAAATGAAAGAGCTTTGTCACTGTAATAAATTTGTGTGGGATGCACAGAACCAGGGCCATCTTTAACACAGGGTAAAAGGGGCAGCTGTCCTGGCCTTGTCATTGTTGTGGGGCCCAAAGCAGTTGCTGCTTCATCCAGTGCTGCCCGGGAAAGTCTGGAGCAGGGATGGGTGGGGCGGTAAAATTCCGGCACCATGCTACAGGGAGCGCATGTGGTGTGTCAGCTTGGTCGGGCTAACAAGGTAGGGGGACAGCCCGATCCTCTGCTCTGCCTGCTAACATAATCCTCCTCCGGACTCAGCCTTGTCCCTTCCTTCCTCCTGCAGTTCCTACTTTGTCCTGCGGGTGGAAAGGATAGTCGGGCTGCTGAGGAACAGAGCTCCGACTGAGAGCTTTTCCAGCCATGTGGAGGCGGGTCTGAAGAGCTCCGTGGTATTGGGGGGGGGGGGGGGGGGGGGGGCAGCAAGGTAGGAACTGTGGGAAGTTCCTTATTTTCCTGACAGTGCTTTGTCTCCCCTCTTCCAGCCCTGCATAATATCTCTGCTCTCATGTGATGCTTTGCAGGGCTGGGTGGAGGGAGACAGGTGTGATGCTCTGCAGGGCTGGGAGGAGGGAGGCAGGTGTGATGCTCTGCAGGGCTGGGAGGAGAGAGGCAGGTGTGATGCTCTGCAGGGCTGGGAGGAGGGAGACAGGTGTGATGCTCTGCGGGGCTGGGAGGAAGGAGACAGGTGTGATGCTCTGCAGAGCCAGAGACAGGTGTGATGTTCTGCAGGGCTAGGAGAAGGAAGACGGGTGTGATGTTTTGCAGGTCTAGAGACAGGTATGATGTTCTGCAGGGCTGAAGACAGGTGTGATGTTCTGCAGGGCTAGAGATAGGTGTGATATTCTGCAGGGCTAGAGACAAATGTGATGTTCTACAGGAGTGAACACAGGTGTGATGTTCTGCAGGGTTGGGGAGAGAGAACAAAGGTGTGATGCTCTGCAGGGCTGGGAGATTGGAGACAGATGTGATGTTTTGCAGGGCTGAAGACAGGTGTGATGTTGTGCAGGAGCAGGAAGAGGGGAGACAAGTGTGATGTTCTGCAGGGAGAGAGGAGACAGTAGTGATGTTCTGCAGGACAGGGAGAGGGGAGACAGGTGTGATGCTCTGCAGCTCTGAAAACTGATGTGATGTTCTTCAGGGCTGAAGATTGGTGTGATGTTGCCTTTTCATTCTCAATGAACTACCACAGTGCTGTTGAGCACTGTGTTAGTTCATTGATTCTTCCTGTCAGTGTCAAACTGCCTGTCCATACATCATACGGCATACACTGATAGTCTGCAGGAGACCTGCAGAGCAACAGGCGATCAGCTGGTGCAATGCTTTCTGGGTTCCTGAAACAAAATTAGTAAATGTAAAGTTTTTTTTTTCCTGAAAAAAACTTGCATTTATTATTTTATTTAAAAAAGTTGTTATTTAACCCCCCCCCCCCCCCAATGTTTGCATGTTTGCAGGGGGCAATGTGTATGGGGCAGTGTTTACACAGAGGGGGCAATGTGTACCGGTGGAAGGTAGGGGGCAATATGTGCAGGGGACTGGGGTGGGGAGATTTGTGCAGAAGAGAGCAGTGTGGACAGGGGACAATGCAGAGGAAAAGGGGGGAAGTGTGCAGAGGGTGCACAGTGTGTAGGGAAGAATAGTGTGCAGGGGAAAGGGGGGACTGTGTGTATAATTGGTAAATTTAATTTAGGCTATATCTCAGATTTCGTCATTGTTTCTTTTCAGAATATATATTATATTAAGCCATGCCCAACATTCCTTTTAATCCAACCATTCCTGAGAGGACAGTGGGGTGGGGACAGCAAAATGCAAAGACTAATGTATACAAAAATCCTTGCACTGCCCCTGCCTCTAGCAAGCAGTCAGTGAACATTAGTGATCTGCTGTAACCTCTAGCAACCAATCAGTGAGCAATACTGATGTGCTGTAAGCTCTAGCAATTAGTGAACAATGATCTGCTGTAATCTGTAGCAACCAATCAGTGAACAATAATGATGTACTGTAATCTCTATCAACCAATCAGTGAGCAGTAATGATGTGATGTAACCTCTAGCAACCAATCAGTGAGTGAAAATTATGTGCTATAACCTCTAGTAACCAATCAGTGAGCAGTATTGATGTCATGTAACCTCTAGCAACCAGTGAGTGGTATTGATGTGCTGTAACCTCTAGCAACCAATCAGTGAGCGATATTGATAAGCAGTAACCTCTAGCAACCAATGGGTGAGCAGTAATGATGTGAAGTAATGTCTAGTAACCAGTCAGTGAGTGGTAAAGATATGCTGTAATCTTTAGCAACCAGTCAGTAAGCCTGGACCAATCAGTGTGGACCAGTTTTTTATATTTGCATTATTAAAGTTTTTGAGACAAGTCTATGTGTGTGTATGTTTTTTTTTGGGGGGGATGTTGGGGTAGAGAGCAAGATTGCATGGGGGGGGGGGCAAGAATATGTTTGCCCAGGGTCCAATCAATATTAAAGATGGCCCTGCACAGAACACACACGCAGTATATATATTATATATACACACTGTAATGACAACAGCCTTGCCATTTCTTTGGGTAGACCGCTTCAAGCATTTTTTTTACAGGTAGTGAGAATCCACACCATGTGTCAGATTGTAAAATGACTTTTGTTTTGAATCAGAAAAACATATCCAGTACCTTTAGCACTACATAACTTAGCTTGTGCACTTCAATAAAACATAACAAAAAATTAAATCCTAGCTTGGCCCTAATTGCACATAAAACTGCTTTCTAACAGGAAAATGGACCTCGTAGTAATTCTTAAGATGGCGCTATATAAATCCTGTATAATAATGAGTATACATGTATCGCAATTCATCCGGTTCAGCAGGATGTGTGTGTAAGACTGGCTTCTTTCAAACACTCCTGTTGGAAAATCAGCATTTGATCAGCTGCTGCAGTGCTGATCACTGTATGCTGATGGGGAGTCCCTTCTGTCAGAATAAAATAGCGCAAAGGTGAAGATCCCTGCATCCACATCATTTGTGTGAATGCGGTAATCTGTAATTTTTTAAACTCAACCAGCTGGTTGAGCGAGAAAAAAGAAAAAAAATAGTATTCCCAACTTGCAAAACTGTTGCCACACCAAATCTGTACACAGGCTTTGGTTTTCCCATGGTTTTTGAGACTTTAGGAGGGCTATGGCTGCAGTTGCCTTCTCTATGAAGAGCAAACATAACTTCCTTTGGTTATCCTCCTCCTACTGCACAACAGTTCTTCCTCTTCTGTCCATAGAGGAATCTATGCAGGAGCTTGCCAGATTGTAACTTGTCGTTGAAGTGGAAATTTTATAGAAGAAAAGGCACTCAACTGAGTAGTACAGTAAATAACAGAATTCGGGTGTACTAGTCCTTTGAATGCCTCTTATACAGCTGGTAAAATAAGTATTGAACACGTCACCAGTTTTCTCAGTAAATACATACAGTACATGCAAAGAAACTAAAACACATAAATTCTGAAATTAAGTTATATATAATAAAATGGAATGACAAAGGGAAAAAGTATTGAAAAAATGAAGAAAGGGAGGTGCAAAAAGGCATGGAAAGCTAAGATACCAGCTGAAATCTATCAGTAATTAGAAAGCAATCCTGCCCCATGTCATTGCAAATTAATATCAGCTGGTTCAGTTTCAATTGATGGCCTATAAAAAGGTGTTTCATTGCCAAGTTGTCACACAAGAAAAATCTCATGAGTAAAAGCAAAGAGTTCTCTCAAGATCTTCGCAACCTTATTGTTGCAAAACATACTGGTGGCATTGGTTACAGAAGGATTTCTAAACTTCTGAATGTTCCAGTGAGCACTGTTGGGGCCATAATCTGGAAGTGGCAAGAACATCATTTCACCATAATCCAGCCACGACCAGGTGCTCCTCACAAGATTTCTGAGAGAGGAGTGAAAGCCTTGGCCTGTCTGCACGCTCACCATGCAAGACTCCATTGCTGAAGAAAAAGCATGTTGAAGCTCGTTTAAACATTTAGGCAAGCCTGTGAAATACTGGGAGAATATAGTATGGTCAGATGAGACCATGATTGAACTCTGTGGACGCCACAATACCAGGGGCGGACTGACCATTTGAAAACTCGGGCACTGCCCAAGGGCCCGGGGTCAGTAGGGGGCCCCATGAGATGCCCCTGGTACCTTTTTCATAGGCTTTTTTGAAATTGGGCAAGGACACAGGGGCCCCATGATCCCCTATTGCCCGGGGGCCCCATGAGTTGTCAGTCCGCCCCTGCACAATACACACCATGTTTGGAGATCAAATGGTACTGCACATCACCCTAAAAAAAACACCATACCAACAGTAAAGTTTGGAGGTGGGAACATTATGGCGTGGGACTGTTTTTCAGCATACGGTACTGGCAAACTTCATGTCATTGAAGGAAGGCTGAATGGAAAAATTTCTGAACATTCTTGACAAATATCTGCTGCCATCTACCAGGATGATGAAGATGAACTAAAGATCAGAGTTCATAGAAGAGGCCCACGGAACCTTCAAGATTTGAAGACTGTGTGGAAGAATGGACCAAAATCACACCTGAGCAATGCATGGGACTAGTTTCTCCATACAGGAGGCATCTTGAAGCTGTCAGTACCAACAAAGGATTTTGAACAAAATATTAAATACATTTCAGTTAGCATATTCAATACTTTTTCCAAGTGTCATTTCATTTTATTACACTTTACAAAAATGGTGTACCGCTAAAACTATTAAGACCATACATTATAATAAAAGGGTAATGAATAAAAGTTCATAAAATTTCATAAATGAGCATATATGGTTGACAGTTCAAAGGTGACTTTCAGTGCTCCTAAAGTGCCTATTTTCCTGGTGGGTCGGTGCTTGTGCAATAATTGTGGAAGAATTGCGCACTCATAGGAGGCGCAATGTAAATGCGCCCATAAACATAAATCCAGATGTTATCAGGGTATCATCAGAGTAAGGCACGTATTGTAGTAACTTCCTTCTGAGGGTGGAAAGGTACATCAAATGGATCCTGGGGCTTTAAGTGGTGATCCAAAATCCGCCAGAGCTCCCCTTAAGGGATGGGTGGGTGCTGCTCTCAGGATGTGCAGGAGGCTCCCTCTCTGGATACTGGCATGGATCTTGTGCAGTGCGTCTGAAATTTAATACTCCTCCTGATCCCCGGGCCCGCTCCACCCGATCGCCCGCACCACCAACACTAGCTACGAGCTGGAGGAGAGTGGAGCGGCCACACCCCCATTACATGGTACAAGGGAAGTAGTCCCGGCAGACAATTATTGCACAAGCACCGACCCACCAGGAAAACAGGCACTTTAGGAGCACTGAAAGTCACCTTTGAACTGTCAACCATTTATGCTCATTTATTACATTTCATGCCCATATATGAACTTTTATTCATTACCCTTTTATTATAATTTATGGTCTTAATAGTTTTAGCGCTGCACCATTTTTGTATTGTTTGATTGAGGTTTATCTTGGTTACCTTTTTGCACAGCTGCTGTTTTTTCCCCCTAAGTGCGCTCACATACCTTTACTATTTAATTTTATTACACTTAACTTAATTTTTGAACATATTTGTTTTGGTTTCTTTGTATGTATGGATTGCATGGGTTGTTACCGACGTGGTGAAAATTTCATGTCAATAGCACCTTTAGAAATATATTTACCGAGAAAAAAGGTGATGTGTTCAATATTTATTTTACATTATATATAAAAAACATTTTCCACAAATTAGGTGTTTAAAGCATTTTAAAAGAAACTTGTAATGAGAAGAATTCATGAACGATTATTGCTGGCCTTCTGAAATGGCTAATTGCCTGTAATGCTGATTTTCTGGCTTCTGTGTTTTCAGAGTCACTGATATAAAACAAGTGATCAGATCAGGAGTTTAGACTTTAGAATTTGCAATAAACTTTTCACCTGGCTGCTTGTAGATTTATCTACTGATATTGATTTATGCTATTCTGTTTCTTAGCCCTCATGAAGGGGAAAGTGTGAGTCTCAGAAACGCATTTGCTGTACCTACTGACTACTACCTAACTGTACCTAGTGTATTAATCGAGATGTATACAATTTTATTGAACCATTTAGAGACATGTCACTCTCATCCTTCAGAGTTTCATTTGATCATTCTTGGAAACCATAAGGCTACTCTGTTAAAGAGCTGCATCTCAAGACTATTAATTGCACCAGACCACAATCATCTTTGGGTCCAGCACTCCTTGAACACCTATGTTAGATTAGGAGTTTACACAAATAAGTTTTCTTTAAAGTGAAACTTTATGAAATCTGTCAAAAACTTCTAGCAAGTAGGTTTGTATGTCTGTTCTGTCAATACAGCTCTTTCCCCGTCAGGTAGAAATGTTTTCCTACTTGCAAACTGACTACGCATGTGCAGCTCAGTGAACAAACTTGGAATCTTACAGTGTGCATACGCAGAAGTTACATCATTCATGGCCAGCCAGTAAAGACATTTTCAGACCCAGAAGATGATTGATATAAGATAGCAGCAGCTACGACAATGCACTTTGGTGGGTGCGGGGATAATACGTGTTGCACAATCATTGTTTACATCCACACAGTATGTGCACCCTATGCATGAGCTTGTGGGTTGTTTTATTATACAGTATTTAAAAATTTTAAAGAACATTATTGCTAGCACAAGATGCTGACAAGCCCTCTATGTGACAGCATTGTGCAGATCATGAAAACAATGGGCATCTTTGAGACCCCTGATGTCTCCTCTGCACTGTGACCAAGCAGATCTGGGACAGCGATATCTCAAAATGTTTTTTTCCTTTCAATAGATTATTATTGAAAAATTTTTATTTTTAGAAGGTACAGTGGCAACCACAGTCATATGTGCAGGTAGAAGTATGAAATCAATGACTGACAAATCAAATGTGGTTGTGCATAAAGCTATAAAACCATAACAAATGTCAAGATAATTGGCATTGCAGCAGATACAATAATCATGTCATAACAATGAAACGATATGGATAACAGAAGGATAACCATATGCCTACAACACAAGATCAGGTGTTGGTGAGGGAGATATCTGTGTATAAAATACACTGAACTAAGGATCAAAAAAAGGAGTATAAAGAACAAACCACATGTGGTCTCTGTGGCAGAGCCAAGTGAAAAAAAAGAAAACAGCGGGGGAATGAAGATTAACAGAGCATGAGAAAGGAACAAGGAGGAGGACGTCAGGAGCACCCGAGCCCTAGGGTCTCTGTATTTATAGCAATGTAAAACTGGCTGTTGATATAGAAGGATAGGCATGTTGGATCCATGGAGTCCATATTTTAAGGAATGTCTCATGGGTATCCAAAAGAATACTGGAAAGCTTTCATTGATAAAAAAGAAGTCTAGGCAGCGGTGAACTTCCGTAGAGGGTATGAATTGTTGTTTCCAAGCTTTCGCTATGGTTTGTTATGTCGCCAGTAGTACATAGATAGCCAGTTTAAAATGGTATTTGGTGAGGACTGGGGGTTTCAAGTGTAGAAGGACATGCCACAGGTATCTTGGGAAGAACAGATAAATAAAGAGTGTAAGAGCTTAAGTACCTTTGTCCAGAACAGGGAAAGCATAGGACATGTCCATCATGTATGAAGGACATCTCCCGCAGTAAGGCATCCCCGGAAACAGGTGCCAGAGGCTGATGGGTATCACCTCGTGACAGTATTGAAAGGCTGATTCAATAATAAGGTTATTAATAGTGCAGGAAGTCAAGGTAGTCCAAATTTGAGACCAGCAACCCCTATCTTTGGTACTTCTCAGGTCCCTTTCCCACCTGGAAACATAAGTATGATTGTTGGGATTTTGGAGGTTAATCGACTGTGAATAAAGAGTCAATATAAGTTTGGGGGAGAAGGGTGTCTGATGACAAATATGTTCGAATAAAGACAGTTGAGTCATCAGGTCTTTATCACCTATCACCAAAGTCAGCCAGTGTTTGATTTGTAGGAATCGGAACAGTTCAGTGTGGGGAATTTGGTATTTGTCCCTTATTTCTGCCCAGGTGTAAATAGAACAACCAGTGAGAAATGAATGGACACAATGAAAATTGTGGGAAACCCACCAATGGAAAGCGCTATGTGGACTGGAGAAAACAGAGGGTTGCCTAAAAGGGGGAGAAGTGGTAGATGAGGGGAGAGTAAACCACTGGAGTATTTGGTGGAGTACCATACTCGTAACGAGTGGGACATTAAAGGGCTAATGGTTGTTGACTTTAATTTTGGAGCAAGCCACAAAAGTGAGTGGGAGGAGACCGGAAAGCAAGTGAGCGTTTCCAGAGTGACCCATGTGGCTGCTTGTTGTGCAGCATATAGAGGGGTCATAGATGCAATCTGAGCAGCCACATAGTACTTGGAAAAGTTATGAACCCATAAGAACCCTTGTTTCCTGTGTATGAGCATGGTGTGTTTGGTGACCCGAGGTCTCTTGTTAGATTAGATAAATCTCAGAACATAACTTTCAAATGACTTAGGGGCATAAGAAGGGACATGGACGGGAAGGGTTCGGAATAGGTATAGAAGCTTTGTGTCAGGGCTCCCAGGTGTGACCAGAGATGTGTGACTGACGCAGGGAAACGCAGACCTCAGATATGTTATAAACAATATAATTTATTAACACTAACAATACAAACATAAACGCAGTGCAATACTAAACATAATACAGTGCAAACGAACCCAACCAAACCACCCACAGATAACAGTACATACAAGCAAGCGTCGTCGTCAGGCAGGCCGGGTCAATATCAATAGGGCAGGTAGTACAGGGGGAGCAAGCGGAGATTGGTCAGGGTCACAAGCCAGGGATCAGAACAGGTAGCAAGCAGCGTGGTACAGAGGGTCAGACAGAGGGATGGTCAGGAGCGAGCCGGGATCAGAGCAGGAGAAGTCAGCAGCGGTTCAGAAACAGGATGCAGGACAGAAACAGGATGCAGGACAGAAACAGGATGCAGGGCCCAGGACAAACACACACCAAGGCAGAGTCTGTGGGTCTGGCCATCCCTTAAATACCCCAGCATAATCAGTTACAGGTGTTAGCTGGCTGCAAAGTTGAGTCTCTGATTGCTGGGAACACCCGCTGGCCAGCCCTGGTACTGCAGATCAAAAGGCAGGTGAGTCCCACCATAGCTGGCCAGTCCATTCCTGACAGTACCCCCCCCTCAAGGAGCGGCCTCAGGACACTCCAAACAGTCCTAGCTGGGAAAAATGTTCCACCGCCCGGGTCTGGTAACTGGCGGGATATCAAAGACTGGCACACCGGGCAGGACTGGACTCCGGGCAGAGGCACATCGGGCTGGACTCCGGGCAGAGGCACATCGGGCTGGACTCCGGGCAGAGGCACACCGGGCTGGACACCGGGCTGGACTCCGGGCAGAGGCACACCGGGCAGAGGCACACCGGGCTGGACTCCGGGCAGAGGCACATCGGGCTGGACTCCGGGCAGAGGCACATCAGGCAGAGGCACATCGGGCTGGACTCCGGGCAGAGGCACATCGGGCAGGACTCCGGGCAGAGGCACATCGGGCAGGACTCCGGGCAGAGGCACATCGGGCAGGACTCCGGGCAGAGGCACATCGGGCAGGACTCCGGGCAGAGGCACATCGGGCAGGACTCCGGGCAGAGGCACATCGGGCAGGACCCCGGGCAGAGGCACATCGGGCTACCAGGCGAAGCGGCAGGCAGCGGGCAACCAGGCGGAGCGACAGGCACCGGGCCCCCGGGCGTGGCGACAGGCACCGGCCCCCGGGGGGCGACAGGCACCGGGCCCCCGGGCGGGGCGACAGGCACCGGGCCCCCGGGCGGGGCGACAGGCACCGGGCCCCCGGGCGGGGCGACAGGCACCGGGCCCCCCGGGCGGGGCGACAGGCACCGGACCCCCGGGCGGGGCGACAGGCATCGGACCCCCAGGCGGGGGGGGACAGGCAGGGCGCCGACCCCCAGGCGGAGCGGCGGGGCGCCGGACCCCCAGGCGGAACTACAGGTCTCGGGCCCTCAGGCGGAGCGGCGGGCGCCGGACCCCCAGATGGAGCGACAGGTCTCGGGCCCTCAGGCCCAACAGGGCGGAGCGACAGGCATCGACCCCAGGCGGGGCGACAGGCATCGGGGCCCCCAGGCGGGCGACAGGCATCGGGCCCCCAGGCGGGGCGACAGGCATCGGGCCCCCAGGCGGGGCGACAGGCATCGGGCCCCCAGACGGGGCGACGGGCATCGGGCCCCCAGGCGGAGCGGCGGGCGCCGGACCCCCATGCGGAGCGGCGGGCGCCGGACCCCCAGGCGGGAGCTACAGGTCTCGGGCCCTCAGGCGGAGCGGCGGGCGCCGGACCCCCAGATGGAGCGACAGTTCTCGGGCCCTCAGGCGGAGCAACAGGTCTCGGGGCCCCCAGACGAAGCGGGCGGGCACCGAGTCAACAGGCACGACAGTGGGCACCGAGTCGTCTGGCAAGACTGCGGGCACCGAGTCAACTGGCGGAACAGCGGGCACCGAGTCGTCTGGCAAGAGACTGCGGGCACCGAGTCGTCTGGCAAGACTGCGGGCACCGAGATGTCTGGCAAGACTGCGGGCACCGAGTCGTCTGGCAAGACTGCGGGCACCGAGTCGTCTGGCAAGACTGCGGGCACCGAGTCGTCTGGCAAGACTGCGGGCACCGAGTCGTCTGGCAAGACTGCGGGCACCGAGTCGTCTGGCAAGACTGCGGGCACCGAGTCGACTGGCGGAACAGCGGGCACCGAGTCGTCTGGCAAGACTGCGGGCACCGAGTCGTCTGGCAAGACTGCGGGCACCGAGTCGTCTGGCAAGACTGCGGGCACCGAGTCAACTGGCGGTCTGGCAAGACTGCGGGCATCGAGTCAACTGGCGGGGCTGCGGGCACCGAGTCGTCTGGCAAGACTGCGGGCACCGAGTCGTCTGGCAAGACTGCGGGCACCGAGTCGTCTGGCAAGACTGCGGGCACCGAGTCGTCTGGCAAGACTGCGGGCACCGAGTCGTCTGGCGGAACAGCGGGCACCGAGTCGTCTGGCAAGACAGTGGGCTCAGAGTCAACAGGCACGACAGTGGGCACCGGGTCATCAGGTATCGGATTGTCTGGCTCGACAGCGGGCATCGGGTCACCAGGTATGACAGCGGGCACTGGGTCACCAGGCATCAGGTCATTTGGCTTGCCAGCGGGCACCGCGTCATCTGGCAAGGCAGTGGGCACCGGGTCACCAGGTATGACAGCGGGCTCTGAGTCAATTGGCACGACAGCGGGCACTGGATCAGGTACCGGGATCATCTGGATCAACAGCGGGCATCGAGTCAACTGGCCTAATAGGATCGTCGGGCTGGATCAGTTCATCATGCCGAGTAGCGGCATCAGGCTGAATGCAGGCATCAGGCTGAGTAGAGGCTTCAGGCTGAGGAGAGGCTTCAGGCTGAGGAGAGGCTTCAGGCTGAGGAGAGGCATCCGGCTGAGGAGAGGCATCCGGCTGAGGAGAGGCATCGGCTGAGGAGAGGCATCCGGCTGAGAGAGGCATCAGGCTGAGTAGAGGCTTCAGGCTGAGTAGAGGCTTCAGGCTGAGTAGAGGCTTCAGGCTGAATGCACGGAAGGGCTTCATCCGGCATCCGGCTGAGGAGAGCATGGCAGGCTCCGGCTGAGAGGCATCCGGCTGAGAGGTAGAGGTTCAGGCTGAGAGAGGCTTCACGGAAGGCAGGCTTCACCGGTTTGGATACTGGCAGGATGGTATTGGTTGGAAAGAATTTTCGCTTTTTTTCTGGTTTTAACTACTGGAGCACTGCAAGTAAACGCAGGTCTGCAAACGAATGGAGCAGCTGGAGACAGAGAAAAACTGGAGGATGGAACAGGAGAGGGAGCAGTTGCTACAGAGGGCTTTTTTACAGGGTTAAAGGCAGGATAGGTGCAGCGAGTGGGAACAGGGTACTGACATGCGGTAGATAGCCAAGTATACTGGGCTGTAACTGGAGGAGCTGGTGGGAATACAGGAGTAGAGTTAGAAGCAGGACTGGGTTTTTGTAAGCTGACTGAGGCTGGGTGCAACAAGTCTGTCCATGTCTGCAGTATGGGTTGAACAAAGCTGAGCTTACACAAAGCCTGTCTGGTCAATGACTGCACTGCGTTTATACAATCTCTCAGTGTCTGTGGTGAACATGTGGAATAACGCTCCAGAAAGTAACCCACATCATCCTCTAATAACCACACCAGGGACTCAACCTGGTCTGCACTAAATGGTGGCAAAAATTCATCCCTGCATTCGGGGGAACCAGATGAAACCAACTCAACACAAACCTGAATCAATGGCTGCACCATAGAGAAATCTGTGCCCTGATCTACTAGAACATGAGCGAGCCGCATACATTCTAGCAGTTCATCCCGGGGATACTCCTTCAGAGTCTGATAAGCATACTCTCTGTCATCAAGCACTAGCAGAGATAAATACTCAACCTCATCCAGATCCATCCTTCCCATCAACAAGCCAAGATGGCTTCCCTGTGCAGCCACTTCTGGTCAGGATTGGCCTTGGTGTAATGTCAGGGCTCCCAGGTGTGACCAGAGATGTGTGACTGACGCAGGGAAACGCAGACCTCAGATATGTTATAAACAATATAATTTATTAACACTAACAATACAAACATAAACGCAGTGCAATACTAAACATAATACAGTGCAAACAAACCCAACCAAACCACCCACAGATAACAGTACATACAAGCAAGCGTCATCAGGCAGGCCGGGTCAATATCAATAGGGCAGGTAGGTACAGGGGGAGCAAGCGGAGATTGGTCAGGGTCACAAGCCAGGGATCAGAACAGGTAGCAAGCAGCGTGGTACAGAGGGTCAGACAGAGGGATGGTCAGGAGCGAGCCGGGATCAGAGCAGGAGAAGTCAGCAGCGGTTCAGAAACAGGATGCAGGACAGAAACAGGATGCAGGACAGAAACAGGATGTAGGGCCCAGGACAAACACACACCAAGGCAGAGTCTGTGGGTCTGGCCATCCCTTAAATACCCCAGCATAATCAGTTACAGGTGTTAGCTGGCTGCAAAGTTGAGTCTCTGATTGCTGGGAACACCCGCTGGCCAGCCCTGGTACTGCAGATCAAAAGGCAGGTGAGTCCCACCATAGCTGGCCAGTCCATTCCTGACACTTTGTAAGAATTGTAATTTTTACAGCGTTAATTCTGCCAGTCCATGAAAGGTGATGAGACCAGGATGTCAGTAAAGCTTTAAGGGAGTGAAAAGTTGGGATGTAGTTAACCTCATAGAGGGTGTGGTAGGATTTGGTAAAACGGATCCCTGGATAATCAAAGTGGGTAGTAGACCAAGTGAAATTTTAATTTTGTTTCAATAAGGCGATCTCTGCCTCAGGTAGGGAGATATTAAGGGCCGTTGATTTGTCTTTATTTACTACCAGGCCAGAAATATTAGATAAGCGGGTAAGGATAGAAAAAAGGACAGGTAGTGTATTGTGAGGCTGGGTCAGTGTCAGGAGCATATCGTCTGCAAAAGAGTTAACCTTGCATGAATGTTGGGCAACCATAACCCCTTTGATATCTAGTGAGGTGTAATAGGGGTTCCAAGGCTAGGATGAAAAGTATGGGGGATAAGGGACACCCTTTGCGAGTACCCCCTGTGAATTGGAAATGAAGGGGATTGTCAAGAAAGGTAAAGAGCCATGGCAGAAGGCTTAAGATATAGAGCCCCCAACCAGGACATAAAAGTGGTTGGGAATCCCTATTTATCTAAAACATAATGCATATATTCCCAGGATAGAGAATCAAATGCCTTATGAATATCCATGCCGAGAACCATACCGTGGGTTCGATTGTGATGCAGTAAATGGATAAGATGAATCACTTTCTGAGTATTATCAGGAGCCCGTCTAAAGGGGACAAAACCCACCTGATCTTTATGAATAAAGTGGTGCAAGAATGAATTTATCCTAGTAGTGAGGATTTTGGCAAAAATGTTAGTATTGACGTTTAGCAGGGAGATGGGTCAAAAATTATGGGGGTCTTGGGGGTCCTTCCCAGGTTTCGGGATCTTGACTATTTGGGCCGTCGTTGACGATGGCTGTAAATCAGTGTGGGAACATAAGTGGTTGAACAAGTTGGTCAGATGGGGAGCAAGGGTGTCGGAAAATGTTTTGTACTATAACGCCGAAAAGCCATCAGGTCGAGGCGTTTTTTGCATCTTTAGTGTTTTACTTGTCGCAAGGACTTCAGTGACAGTAATATCAGCCTTCATTTTATCTGACATAGATTGGGAAAGGCCAGGGAGATGGATATCTTGAAATATGGCATCTGCCAAGTCCTTTCAAAATGGTTGCAAGGGTTGATACAATGTGGACAAAACTGAGGTAAAAGCATCCACAATTTTGGAAGTATTAGCTGTGATGACTTTGTTAGGTAAGCATAACATGATCGGTTTAGTGTCCTGAGTATGCGCTTTGAGAAGGTTAGCCAGCATCGGGCCTGGCTTATTGACGCATGCATAATTTTTATTCCAAGACCATCCAATCTGCTTTTCCTCTTTATCCTCAAAAAGAAGATTCAATCACAATGATAGCTTCCAGCCGTTTGCGTAAAGAAGCAAAGTGGCATGCTTTAAATTGACCTTCTAGCTGTGCAAGGGTGGAAGATAAGGATGCTATGCAAGAGTCCTTCTACTTATGGGATGCAAGTTGTATGAGTTTCCCTCTAAGTGTAGCTTTGTTAGCTTCCCACAAAATCGTGGGAGAGGAAGCGGATTCAGTAGTGTCGGCGAAATAGGTGGAGATGGACTTTCAGATAGTTCCAGCTGTTTCATCAAAAGATAAGAGAGAGTCGTTAAGGTGCCAAGAGTAGTGCTGAGGGGCTGAAGCTAACGATTTACAGGTAAGTAGAAGGGGTGAATGGTCAGACCATTTTGTGGATAGAATCTTAAAGTTAAGGACAAGGATGAATGTTTGAGGAATGACAAAATGGTCTATTCATGTGTGCCAATTGTGAGAAGCTGAATAGTAGGTATAATCCCACACTCAAGGGTTCAATGCTCTCCAGGCATCCACTAAAGCATGGTCAGTGAGGAGATCCAGAAATTGCTGTGTTTGTGAGTTAGCCTCAGTAGGAACCTAGGAGGGTTTGATTGAGGGGGATCTGTCTAGCTGCCTGTTCAATACTATTTTGCTATCTCCCATTATGATCAAAGTGCCCTTCCTGTGTGAGGAAACTACGCATAACAGGTGAGAAAAAAATCGGGATTGATGGACATTAGGGGCATAATAATTGACTATGGTCACTTCAACATCCAAAATTGGCCCCTGAAGTAACAGATACCATCCTGTAGGATCTGCAATCTCAAGGGACAAATAAGGAGGAGGAGTGCTTTTATGAAATGCCACTAGAACACCTCTCAGTTTTTCTTCAAAGGTCATCTGGAACACCTGGGGGTATGTATGGGAATTCCTGTACGGCAACTGGGTAATAGAAATGAGTATAGGCTTGCACATGCGTGCAAAAATGCGCGCACACGGGTGCACACATGTGGGAGCGTGCCCACTGTTTCTGGCGCCAGACAGACTATTTAAAGAAGGCTCTTACTCTCTGTCAGTGCTGACTAGTCTTCAGCTAACTTCCTGATTCCTGCTGTATCCTGTGTGTATCAGTTACTGACCCGGCTTGCCATTGACCTGCTCTTGGATCCTGTTTATGCTTCTGCTCATCGGTTTCTGATCCTGGCTTTCTCCTGGCCTCGTCCCTGTCTGATGTTATAGTACCTCATTGCTTGCTCGTTGCTGACCCTGGCTATTACTCTGACTACGCTTCTGGCTCCAGTTTTGGCTCTACAGTCCTGCCCTGTCCTGTCCTGTCTGTCATTACATCTGCTCTGGTTGTCACAGTGTGTTGCAGCCTCACACTTATCAGAAGTTCCGGCAAGCCACGTACACAGATCTTGCAGTTCCAGTGGAGTGCGTCTCTAACCTCGGCTGGCCGTTCCGGCATCTCCTCTGTTCCTGACTGGATGCCCTGTCTTAATTACCGAGGGTACATCACCAGCCGCAAGTTCCACAATCAATATCCACAGGCACTCTGGTTCCTCCTGTCCCTCGGCACCACCTGTTTCACCTTCAGTGGGGCCTGGGTTGAAGATACAAGAGAGGCTGACCTCATCAATTCAGACTTCTATCAGGTACGTGACAGGGTAGTTTTTATGGAAATATTTGGGAAAGGAAGCTGTAGAAAATCTGGTCTCTTGCAGTCCAATGATCTGGGCTCGAAGTGAGGAGTAATAAGTAAAGGCACACTTACGTTTCTGGGGGGAGTTGAAAC